GAAGACTAAGGGATCTGGGACTGTTCAGTCTGGGGAACAGAAGACTGAGGGGGGACTTGGTGGATGTCTATAAGTATGTAAAGGGTGAATTTTGGTTGCTGGGAGAAAAATTATTCACTAGGGTGCCCTAAGGGAGGGTAAGTCACGAACACCAGCTGCAGAGGGGAGATGGCAAGGTGCAGAGGCAGCAAGGGGAGTTGCAGATAAGGCCCCAAGGCACAGTAAGGGGCCCCCACCATCACCCTCATATTCAATTCTAAGATGAGGGGCTTTTTTCCCTATGGGGGAAAACCATCTTAGAATCAAGTAAATATGGTACTGTCCCTGCCCCAGTGATGCCCATGGAGAAGTGGCATTTGGACACATGTCTAGGGCTGCCAGCTAATTTAAACAGGCTTTGCAAGTTAGCCAGCTGAAGAGCAGGTGCGTGAGTGTTTGTTGGAGCAGGATCTTCTACAGAGAAGTCCCAAATAGTGAATCAAATTTACTTCTGATACATTTGGTTTAAAGCATTTCTCGTCTGTACACTGAATTCAACAGACAACTCTAGTGTGTTTGCTATTTCTAAAATACTGAGTGTGGATTCTCTCTCTGCATCACTCTTCTTTTCTCTATTTTTAGATGACTTAGCAGTTGCTGAATAAAGGTTAACAGCCCTTTGGCATTTCACTTCTGATCCCAGCTTCCACCAATATTTGCTCTTTTGCAAAAGCCATGGCTTGTTTGCTTCGTTACCTGCATGGACATTAACGTGCTGGGCTAATGAGGCTCTCAATCCAAATGTCTTCCCACAAACGTTGCACTTGTATGGCTTGGCTCCCATGTGGCATCGCTTGTGGCACTTCAAGTATTCATTGGTGGCAAAATGTTTCCCACATACATCACACTTAAATTGACGCTCTCCTAGAAAAAGGCAAAGGCATTCTGAATTCTCTTCATGCTGACCTCTATAACTCGTCTGGGTCCTGACAGATGTTAAATATATGGCACAACTGACATGTTAATTGCACCAGAGAGTAATGGTGCTACACATTAAAGCCAATTCATGGCAAGTTAATGTAGCAAATGAGCCACACAGATGTTCTGCATTGTATTTTTGTAGCTTGTTTCTATCCTGGCTTAAACTGAATGTGCAGCATGTTGAGGCTGGCCCCATGTCAGGTCTGGACATAGAGATGATTGTTGATCCAGTACAGGGCAGCCCCAGATCCTGGACCTGGGAGTCCCCCCACCGAATCCTTGGAGGCAGATGGAGGTAGGGGTACTGTGAGCCCAACATTGAGGACCGGCTTCTCGATGTCAGGGTTACAGCACTCCACATTTTTAAAAAGTGGTGTTCAGTTTTTAAGTTCCTGGGGCACCCAGGAAAGGGACAGCTGGTGAGCCAGGAGCTCCTAGCTGCCCGTGCTCCATATTGTGGACCCAGTGCATGGGGAATTAAAAAAAGGAAAGGATGCGAGGCATGCCAGGTTGTGCAATTTTGGAGATCTGGCATAAAATTAATCAAATCCCAATTGCACAAGTAAATTAACATCTTCCACAGACCTTTCAGGCCAAGCCTCAGGGTCCACAATTTTCCTGCTGCTGACCTCAACACAGCTGATCCTTCCCGTATCTTGGATTATCTTAATACTTTGGCTTCCCCTCTTTTCTCTGCGCTGACATGGAGAAGCACTCACTGCCAGTACAGGGAAGGTACCTGCTACTTCTCCCTGCATCTGCTGCTTACTCTTCTCCCTGCACCAGCATGGAAAAGGCAACAGCTGCCGAAACCTCCCATCGCCCAATGCCTCTAAAGCCCCATGTTGGCAAGCAGGATCAAAAGGCTCTTGGACTAGATCTGGCTTGTGGGCCACAGGTTGCCAACCCTTGCTCTATATCATGACCTTATCCCTTCACTTTCCCTTAGTCATTATTTCTATGCAGACAAATCCTGCATCCACTTCTATCTCCACCTCCTATTTTGCTGTTTTGCATCCCAGACCTGCCTTTCTAATACCTGTCTATTCAGGTACTTCTATGGTTCTCATTGTCTAAGCCTCCCCTATGAGTTATAGAAACTATGGTGCTCTTTCTGCCCCCCTCCCTCCCACTGTCATGATTTGCAGCCAAGAGTTTCAGTTGATAACTATGTGGGTTGGAATGGTATAGGGAAATGCAACTCCCTTTATGAGCCTGGTCTGTAGGATTTAATGCCTACCTGTATGCGTCCTCTTGTGGCTATTTAGTTTGCCTTTATCAACAAAACAAGCTCCACAGTCTTCACATACGTATGGCTTTTCTCCTGTATGGGACCTATATGCAGCAAACACACACATGCACACACAATTATTGAGAAAACAGTTATACAGCGGGGTTTTGAAACACGATTTCATCTGAAATTCAGGGCCTGTGCTTTGCATATTATGCACAGTTTACTTCGATTTTTTTTCGTGGATGTGACAGCATAAGTGAGTTCAGCTCAGCAAAGAAATATTTTCATGCACACACATTACAGGAAAGGTACAGGAAGATCCATACAGATTCTCTCAGATTTGGGCTGCAATGAATGACCTATCTGATGCTTGGATTTTCCTGCAAAAAGAACACAGCGGAAGTGAGGAAGTGCTTGGCAGGGGCAGTGATTTGTATCCAGAAATTAAGGCTCTCAGCTAAGTAGGTCAGCATTACTCCACTGACCTGAAGGAGCTCTGTTGAGTCATGCCAGCTAGAGATCTGACTCTTCTACTAGCTTCAAGGAAGCCAAGATGTGTAAAGTATTCCTCTGGCTGTTCCTTTTTCTTCTCTCCCAGTTCCTTCAATAGCAGAACTAGCTGAAAAAACTCTACGGCCAAAAGGAACAGCAACCTGTTCAAATGATTATATATACTGTTCAGTTCTGGTTGCTGGATAGGCCAAGGGCTGAAGTCCATACCCTACTCCTCATGATAATCCCAAGACTGGTAAACTCTTTGGGTGTCTATATGTATATGCTTGCTGCAGTCCATCAGGAAATGGATAAAGCCAAAGTTATATTAAATCAAAGGGCATCTTGCCCATTCCAGCAGGGTGAACAAGGACAGAGAAGAAAGAATACTAGTTAGTGCAGGTGATCGTTCATACAGCTCATATACATTTATACACAAATACTACTGCTGCAGAGTCACCATATTTTTGGTCCTCATCCCCTGAAGTGTGACAGGTACACTAGAGCACGCCCCTAGGTGATATAAACTTGGAAAAGTTCTATAAGCTAGCAGAGCTGTGCAAATCAATGCTATGGATGATGTGGCTGGTTGAGTTCAGTCACAATACTGACCCTTCAAAGATTCCATTTTAGTATTACGAGAAAGCCAAGGATTTGTGTGTATGATTATCTTTTGGTTGAAATAGACTTAGACAAGATTTCAAATGTGAAGCAATATTCATTGCAGACTTGATGCTGTTTGTGGGATGTGCAGTTTGGGAATGAAAAGGTTTGATGAAGAATGCATCGCATTCAAATGCTTGTTTAAGTCTATCCCAACTATGCAGTTGGGATCACCCACATAAGTCCCTGCCTCTCACATAATTCCTGGAACATCATGGCTACTACATCACTCCATCACTACTAAAACATTTTAATATTAGTGAACTTGGTTCCTATTAACAGTGCTACTCCTCCTCTGGTTAGACCTAGGAAGAGTACCTTCCTCCTTTCCTTTGAAGACTATCACTCATGGTTCAAACAGTGAAAGATGGATTGTATTTAAAAAGAAAAATTGGTGGAGGGAACCTAGGAGTGTCTTCAGTCCTCCATCTTGTAGCAGATCCCTCAAGGCTGCTGTTATGTACCTTGGGCCTCATTCTCAGCTGCTGTAAGTCACCAAGTGACTTTTGTCAGCTGAGGGTCTGGTCTGTGGTCCGTAATTCAAGACAACATTCCCATATTTAAAAGAGAGAGGGCAGGAGGGAAAGTCATGCAAGCTGGGCTTCAAAAAATGTTATGTTGAGGATCTGGGTTTAAACTGGCTAACACATTAGCTATTCAGAGCCAGACATCTGGGCCATCTGTCCCCAGGATGAAAATATTTCCCTAGTTTCAAAACAGAATATCCCATTTTCTAACAGGCTTAGCTGACTCTGAGCTCCAGTCTGAGCTGGGCGTGCTGGAGATTGGGCTGTGTGTTAGTATGGAAAATCCAGGGTGGGCCAGAGAGGAGAAGAGTGGGGAGTGAAATGGTTTCATTTTAAACAACAGTCCTGGGTGTCCCAATGAAAATGAGACCAAAGCATTCATTTGACCAAACTGATGTGGCACACACGACATGTTTTAAACAGCACTGTCATGGCAAATGTGGGACATATGGTCACTCCATCCATAATTCAGTGCTCAGCTTCCACATTCTACTTTACAGCTTCTGACCCATGCATGATCATATGCAGTACGGGGATGTCAGTCAAAATGTTGCTTCTCAAGAAGAAGCTGCTATGCAAAACAACCCCCTAGCTTTGCTGGCATCGCTTCTGATTGAGGGTCAGATCTTAATCTGGTGTCCATCAAAATAGTGCTAATGAACTTCCTAAATATCTCAAAGATTTGTCACTGTAGAACCTGACCACCATATACTTTTTTGAATGTACTTATCCTCACAGAGACCCCTGCATGGAAGGGAAGAGCTATTTGTCCTCAATCTGTAGGGTCACAGAGTCACTACATGACTTGCCCAAGGTCATGCAGGAAGCCTGTAGCAAGGCAAGTCTCTGAAGTCCTAGACAAATGTCTCAACCAGTATGGCCATCTTCTCTATGCTCTTTATATCAGATAAGACTCTGCCCCTTAATCTTACTGTAATTTGTATTTCAAACATTTTCTTTCACATCAGTGTATGGGTAAGCCTTAGTCCTTCCCAAGAATGATGTCATGACCTAGAAACATACCAGAAACTTTTCATTAAACAAAATAACTAAACCTTGAGACTGATCAATAGTTGAGACCAGGGCTATACAGTTGGTGGCCCACAAGTGGCTAGCATATGGCCCATGGGCCCCTATAGTCATCTCCCCCTTTGCTGGGTGGCAGGGAAGGGTTGGGTGAGGGGGAAAGAGGGAGTTGGAACATGCTACTGGCACTGCCTGTGCAAGAGGGAGCTATGTGCCACCCATGCCATGTGTCACTTGTGCTGGCCTCATGGGGTAGGCTGCACAGCAGGAAAGAAGGTTCCAGGGGGCCAGGTGCCACCAGTGCTACCCATATGGTGATAGTGGTGGTGGATCCTGGGGGCCCACCTCTGCAGAATATGGTCAGTGTGGTGTGTGGCTCGGCTCCAAGGCCACATACTGACACCTCATGCAGTCCTCAGCCACAATGAAATTGGACAATCCAGTCCAGATGATTATGTTAAATTCCAGCCTTCCTATTGGGTGACTACTGCAAAGTACTGATAGGAAGTGGGAGGGGAAGGGGAAGGGATGTTGTAGAAGGCTAAGCATGCAGAATATAGGGAAAGTGTTTCTGGAGGCTGACCTGGTATGGATCTTAAGCTGGGAGGGCTGAGCAAACTTGTTATGACAAACACTGCATTCGTATGGTTTCTCCCCTGTGTGTGTCCGCATGTGAAACATCAGTGCCGTTCGTGAGCTCAAGATCTTCCCACAGACAGAACAGAGAGGACGCTTGACTCTGCCTTCATGTTTCCTCATGTAATGCGTCCTCACATCTCTTTTTCTTTTAAAAGTAGCATCACAGAGGGTGCAAGCAAACTGCCTTTCTTCAGTGTGGACACAGGCTCTGTGCTCTTTCCAGCTGTTGTAGCTAGCAAATGACTTGCTACAGATATCACACTGATAGACTTTGCCAGGCAAGGATTGATGGACTTCTTTGCAGTGATCTACATATTTTTTCCGGGAAACAAACTGCTCAGCACATTTATCACATGTTATAACATAGGCAGACTTCTTGCCTACCCTGCCTTTTTTACCCTTCTTTATTTTCAAGTCTTCATCTGAATCATTCTCTTCACCTTCATTACTATTAGAGTAGTCGTCGTCGTCGTCATCATCATCAACACCACCATCATCATTACAGACATACTCATTATCTTTACTGTCCTCTAGTTCAGAATATCCCGCATCTTCTCCCTTCACACTTGTTTCTTCTTCATCTTCATCATCATCTTCGTTTCCTTCTTCCCCGTTTGCTTCATCTTCCCCATATTTGTCTATCTTTCCTTTCCCTTCATTGCTGCAGTCTACTTCTGCATTATAGGAGCTGCCAGGTTCTTCTTCAGTGCCCATAGCTGCTTTGCTCCCAGCACATTTTTGCAATCCAGTAACCGATTCCCCATCCCAAGTTTCTTCATTAACATCCATTGCACAGTCTGTTGCTTCTGGTCTAACTGTAGGTGGAACGACCGTCCAGTAGATTGGTGTATGCTTCCTGTCTTGCCCAGATTCATGTATTTTCCTGTTAAAAACACAACACAACTATAATAGAATTCAAACACTCAAATTTCTATATGAGCATGTGAAGGAAAAGTATTTACTCTTAGCCTTTTTAATGGTTCTTTATGTTATTTAACAAGCTGGTAGACTATTTTGCAAGGCAGCAAAGAAACACTGCATCAGGGTGAGACCATGAAAACTAAAATGCCTTACACTTGTAAAAGTGTAATTTAAAATCAATGGGCTTCTCTGACTACAATGCTAATGATGAAATTTACACTGAGAGAATGGCATAGAAAAGACTCTGGACAGAACTTTAAGATCAAAAGATCATTAAGAAGACACTCTCACTATAGCATACATCATCTGATTACATTATTGTCTTGCATATCATGCAACCCTAAATAAGCCACAAACCTTGTTTTTGAGAAGGCAGAATGAAGAAAAAAGGTTTTTTTGTAGAGCTGTGGCTGCAAAGAGTAGGGACAGAGCCTAATCTTCAGTTCACTCACTCTCCCTTTCCTCCTTACGAAAAAGTTACAGTTCTAAACCTTTCACAGCTGAACTGTTGCCAGCTCTTGGCTGTTCAGCTAAAAGCTGAAACTGTAGCTGCTAATGAAGACTAGATTCCAGGGGCAGATCTAGGATTTTGAAAGAGTAGGGCTGTGAAATAAAAGGAAGACCAGGAATGGATAACAGCCAAATTGCCAAAAAAAAAGGTAGTTTGATTACCAGAGCATCAAGACTGTTAAGAGAGGGAGTGGGTCATTAACATCTGCTGAGCAAAGAGATTAGCAGGAATTCAGGTAGATTATAACTAGCCATGAAATCAGATAACTCCCTCAGGCATGCATGAATAGAAATATCACTGGTACTGCAGGGCAGTTGTTTTTAAACTTTAGGTGGAACAGGAATAAAAAAGGAGTGTGACTGTACCACTGTACTCCCAGACCTGCCCCTATTGGACTCCCTCTGCCACTCCTTCCATGCGGCTGGTGGAGGAGAAGAAAAAGAAGCATCAGCCATTTTACTGCATCTCCATGCTTCTATTCAGGGCAGTTTCTCTGATTAAGACAGGTACACCAATTTTGGAAGGCTATTTTTTGGGGAAACTGTGTGTGTGTGATGTGCAAATAAATATAGTAATATCATGAGTCAGACTGTAAATACAGTAGGACTGTGCAAAGCTTCGGGTAGTGATTCAATTCAGAGGAGATTCAGCCTGATTCGGTGGCCGAATCTCCAAATCTGAATAGAATCAGGGGACCAATTTAAAGGCTTGAATCGATTCAAAGCTCTCCGAATCTTTGGCAAAGATTTGGAGAGCTTTGATGATTTGGGCAGCCCCCAGTGGCTGCAGCAGGAAGCTGCAGCCACTCCAAGCTGATAAGTACTAGGGGCAGGGGAGGTGGTGTGGGGGAGGGGGGAGAAGACCATGGGGGGACCCCTGCCAGCCCTGCTGATCCCCGCCCGCTCCCCC